TATTAGTTTATCCTCCGGGCCATGTTAGCTTTGGCTTTGTTCCGTTTTGACTCCATGTAAAGTGCAACGTCACCCGGGTCGCCCCGTTCCTAATTTTCCGCTTCGCTTCCTCTAACACCATCTGTCTCGGAGCTCCGTTCCTTGGAAAAATTGCCCGCCGTTCTTTCAAATTATCCACCGCGATGCATACTGGCATTGCCATGTTGTTGAACGATATTTAAAATTTACATCAGGTTGAGCATAACCGCCTCCTATTTGTGGGGAAAATAGGTACCCTATTTTTCAATGAGTGTATGGGACAATGTATAAGTGCATTGGGTACCATTTAAGTATTCAAGACAATCAGTTTGTTTCAATTTTCCATCATAAATATTGGCCCGTAGCTACACTGGGGAAAAAATTCGCTTGGATCTAGAGTCCAGACTCTTGAAAACATTGACAAGAAAAAATAATCTTGATTCAATCGGATTTTAGCTTAAATCAAGAACAAAGCCTCTTAATTTAAGCGGATTTTGTTTTAATTCAAGCAAAAATCCGATTGAATCAAGAGTATCTTTTCTTGTCATTGTTTTCAAGAGGCTGGACGCTAGATCTAAGCGACTTTTTTTCCAGTGTATTCTTCCAGAAACCATCCAATCTTTTGACTAATAGCATGCAATTGACACTTTGGAAATACGAAAAAGATAGGTCTTTTCAATTTGTTCTCTAAAAATGCCATCTTCTGTACGAAGATTGAACCTAAAGGGTGCAATATTTCACTGAAAAGGATTCTTTAATCATTTTTAATCAGTCATTTCTATGGATGGTCTTATCTTGAGGACATTTTATGGTAAGAGAATTCATTCTCGACCAAATTTATGGTTTCATCGAGTTTCTTGCAAAATTTTACAGCTATACCACTAGCTTGGGAGAGCATGCAGGGACATACCTGTAATATTGGATGTCAGGTTTCATCAGGTTATGAAACTCTCAGGGCCCAAGAGGGCCCTGAGACTACTTATTATCACTATTTACTTATACTTTACTTATTATCACTATTCTTAGGTTTATTATCTATCAAAGCACGTATTAACCTTTGTCTTTCGAATAAATTCTCTCAGATTTGCGGGAGAGATCTTATTTCTAAATATTCTTTGCCACCTTGGTTTGGCATTTGAACATGAAAATTGGTAACAACAATTTTGTAGTATTTTTACCGCGACAAGATTGGCTGCCCTTTTAAACCCGAAGAACTTCATGTTTCGACATTTTCATACTCTCCTCATCTAGATTTTCTAAACTAGGGTCGTTCAAGATCAAATTGATGAATGTCTTTATATCAGGAACCATGGTAAAGAGGACTAATTGCTGGTGTCTATTGTTTGAATAAAGAAAAAAGAACCCATAAACAAAATTCTCAAGATGTCGCTTCTAAAAGGCAAAAGACTCACAATCTAGTGTTTTAATCTGTCGAACTTGGCAACCGTGTCCATATTCACCCGCGCAGCTTTTCGGTCGGCCTGCGAATTTGCTGGGAAAATCCGCACCTGGTTAAATGGTTTTTTCGAGAAATAACTCCGCTGAGCGCCGTTGTTTCAGTTTTTGCATCAAATCTCAATGTATAAATGAGGTCCCTCGAGAAGCAGGTTTGTCGACCTTCATCAGAGAGTTTAATTTGAAAAAAGTACCTAATTTTAATTTAAATTACGTGTTAAACTCGGTTAGAATCGGTCTGAGGAACCGTTAGCAGGGAAAGAGTAAATTGACAGAGATCTAAAAACTTTTTCATCGTTGGTCGTAAATTATTCATCCTGGAAATGCCCATTAAAAGTGTACACTTGGTTTTATGTCATTTATAAGCTTCTGCGGTGCAATTTTATGCATCTAATGGATAAAGTGAAGTATTGCTCGGATGAGGAAGTTGTGTGGATGGGTGAGCTTGTCTCACGAACCCACGAAGTAGACTGTATGATATATGGACGTAATTTTAATAGGCTGTTTATGTGCGAAAATATTAAAGTGCAGTAAAAATTGACTTTCGTTCGATTTAATCAATGGATGAATGAAAGTCTTGGCCTTACCTGCTATGAGATGTTTGATGTTTAGATGAAACATCTCATAGCATGTAAAGGCAAGTCTTTCTTTTGCAATTCAACTTAATTAATTATCACACAAAATGCGATACCTCAATTAATTAATTAATCAATGGATAATCTCCAACGTGTATACAATAAGACGCTGAATGTCTTAAAATATATTAACTAACTAACTTACTTAATTTTATAAACGTTATATTTTTAAAACGTGACATTATTTTTAAAACCTGTTCTAAGCGATGGCATCGATCTTAATCTCAATAAGCCGTACGTGTGTTGAAAGGAACTATACAAAAATGAAAAAGAGAAAGAAAAAACCCGAGGAGGACGCAATCTTTGGTTTTAACCAATTTTTACATCGATCTTTTACAGTCAGACACGTCCAATTTTGAGTGTTTGGTTGCGAATACACCACACTGTAGCACAGTAAAAGCACAAAATATAAAAGAAAAATTAAACAGCTTTGGAAATCATTAAATTAGACACGGATCCACCTTAATATTTTCAAAATACACGTTATATTTTCCTTTAATAAAGTATTTTTTTTTCATCAATTGAAATGAGAATAATCCGTGCAGAGCGTGCAAACATTTCAAAATCATGAGTTGAAAAACGCCGACTCCGCGAGTTTAAATATTAGAGCCCGACACAGAGCGCACTGGCGCCTACAAACCTAACGGGATACTTCTCGCGTTGCGCAATGCGTGAAGTATCCCTGTTAGGTTTGTAGGCGCCTATGCGCGTGTCACACTGGTCGCCCAGCGAAGTCCGGAGTGCTACGGCGTTTCAAGCAACTATTTCCCGGCATTGGTGTCACACAGTAGCATAATTTTTGAATTTCATTAGAGAAAAATCGACTCGATTTAGGCAGAAACATTCTTGAGAATACCGTTGAGAAGATTTTATTTTGAATCAAGAATAAAATAGCTGAATGAAAGAGGGTTTCTGCTTGATCTAAGTGACTTTTCTTTTTATTTAAGCATCCTTTTTTCTGTAAACAGACATTTTCTGTATTGATTTATAAGGAAATCTTCTCGGCGGTAAATTTGAGCATATTTCTGCTTGAATCAAGTCACTTTTTTCTCTAATTAAGTTCAAAAATCATGCTACACGTTACTGGATCCCGATACCAGGACTTAGCAAGTTTTTCGATTACAGCTCTCTTTTTTTCGTTGTCACTGAATAAAATTTTTGAGGAAACTTCGTGTTGTTGAAAGATGTCATCAATCATAATATATTGGGGTGCCTTCAATCTTGTAAAATGCCGTTTGTATGATACTGACGCCAAAATTTTCAATTACATATATGTATATATTTGTTTCCGTTTGGCCAACCGAACAAACAAAACCGAGCAAACCCTCATTCTTCCAAGACATACATTTCATCCAAAAACGTCGTGAGCAAATGTTGTTTGTATTTACATGTTGACCAATTAACTTTGGGTCTCAATAATTGGTAAGTGGACCAAAACTTCCCTGCCGAAAAAACGCGTGGACTTAAACTACTGGAAGAAATAAGTGCTCGGACTAAAAATCGTTGACGAAATGTCCTATAACCGTCTAGTTGCCCATTGTTGTAATCCCCTCCGAGGGCCTATTGGACTGCATTTTGCAATTTGGACCTATAAATTCTAACTCATCTGAAAAAAAAACACTTATGTGCATCGAGAAACTAATGGCACATATTGTTTTTAAACCGGGCCGAAATTTACAGTTCTTAGTTGCAAAATGTAGTCAAATTTTCAATGTGATATTGTTGCGTTTTTTCTCCGCATCGTAGATATTCTTTTTTTTTAAGATGTGATACGGAGAGATCTCCTTAAGTCTCCCTTAATCAGCATATAAACCATATGAGGCCTCCTGAGGAAAGCCTACGAAGAAGACCCTAAGAGATGACTGAACACGCCACGAAGAATATACACTGGAAAAAAAAGTCGCTTGGATCTAGAGTCCAGACTCTTGAAAACATTGACAAGAAAAAATACTCTTGAATCAATCGGATTTTCGCTCATAGCGAGAATCAAGCCTCTGAATTTAAACGGATTTCCTTTCGATTCAAGCAAAAGTCCAATATCAAGAGTACTTTTTCTTGCCCTTGTTTTCAAGAGTTTGGACTCTAGATCCAAGCGCCTTTTTTTCCAGTGTATTCTAGTGCGGAATAGAAGAGATATTACCTCTGACGTTGACATAGACGGCGATGATGAGGAGATAAACCTCCCTTAATCAACATGTAAACCGTATGAGGCCTCCCAAGGAAAGCCTACGAAGAAGACCCTAAGAGATGACTGAACACGCCACGAAGAATATACTTTGGAAAAAAAAAGTCGCTTGGATCCAGACTCTTAAAAACATCGACAAGAAAAAATACTCTTGATTCAATCAGATTTAAGCTTAAATCAAGAACCCAACCTCTTAATTTGAGCGGATTTCCTTTTGATTCAAGCTTAAATCTGATTGAATCAAGAGTCCTTTTTCTTGTCAATGTTTTCAAGAGCTTGGACTCTAGTTCCAAGAGACTTTTTACTTTCTCGCTCCCCTAGGGTACAGAGGAAGTATTGTCATCCTGCAAGAGAGGGAGAGAGAAAAAAAAAAGTTGAAATTTCATCATTTCTAGACGTTTTAAGGTCCCATAACCATACTTGAAAAAATGTGTGTCCGTCCGTGTGGCGTCCCCCAAATCCATCTACAGCGATATCTCAGAATCTATCTGTTCGATTTCATTCAAAATATTCACGGAACACCATATCTATGGTCTCCTTATGCACGTCAAACGATTTTTGGGTACGCTTAAATTTGGGGTGGGGGATAGGCTAAATTGTCAATTTTTAGCAAAATCACACGGAAAGCTCATTTTCAAGGACTGTAAATTTTAGAAAAAATTCCTTTTTTTCCAATGTATTCTAGTGCGGAATAGAAGAGAATTTACCTCTGATGTTGACATAGACGGCGATGATGAGGAGATTGAGCATGATGATAGCCAGGGCCATGGTGCAGATGATGGCCGCCTGGGTGAGCGCCTCCAGCGTGGACGGCTCTGCGGGCTGTGAGCCGGGGCCGGGGCTCTGCGGCTTCACCTGCCCTCCCGCTCACCCTCCCCGCACCCACACCCACACCCGCCC